CTGGCTACTTGGCGATCTGTGTCCACACCACGCCTCTGTGGAATTGTTTTTTCTGTGACTGAGGCCAGTGACTTTTCCTCAGAATGCATCTCCTTTAGACAAACTGGCAGCTCTCCAGTAGCTCAATCCTCAGTGTGAGTCCCTGAGATGGAGGACAGGGCACATGTTTGCAGGCAGATTGCACATTTGAAGGAATAAATTGCTTTGTAGAGGACCAGACTCCACATTGCCTGTTCCACTCTGTGTTCTTTTGCCTTTAAATATGTTTGTCGAAGACCTGTCATCTGCAGTTTTCTGTTATTTCTTTTCAAGGCCCGCTTATTTTCTGGTGACTGGTGCTGGGGCTCAGCCGGATGGTCTGTGTCCGGAAGTGAACATGTGGTAGTGTTTAGCTTTGTAATGCCCTGGGTTTTATGGACGTCTTGAGGGAGATATTGCATGGAAGGCACCCAGGATAGTGTTTCTGGGCCAGCAAACAGACTGGATATCCAAGTGTTGGAGAACTCTTGTTATCACAGAGTTTCCCAAGGGTATACCTCAGTCCAAGGCCCACAGAGAAGGCTTAACATGGAAGCCAAGTCATCTTTAATAGGCCAAGTCGTTTTTTTTCCTGCTCAAACATTCACGTATTTTGTTCGTTAAAACCTCTATCAATTTGGTGACTCCTTCTGGCATGGAGCAAGCTTTAACTCCCCCTCAGTTAATGTAATGTGTTACAATTACAGTCACCAGAGGATTCTCTTCATGTGGTTCTGCTGGCGCCAGCAGAATTTCCATGTGTTTTATTCAAACATGATTTCAAAACATTTCCTCCCCGACAGTCTTCTCAAATCTTTTCAGCCTTGTAAGTTAAGATGTAACAACAAATCCATGTGAATTAAAACTACTTTTCACTGGTACATTTTCCGTACTAAACTTGCACAACCCATGTCATGTCAAAAGCATTTGACCCTGTTGTTTGCCTTGGAGAAGAATGCGGCCCAAGAATAAGCTTCCTGAAAGTTGAGCTTTAGATAGCACAGTAGGGTGCAAATTTCAATAAACGTTTCTTCCTTCTTTCATGAACTGAGTACTCTCGATGAAAAATGTATTCCTCACCCAGACCATCGCCCAATTTTACCAAATAGCAATAATTACATGATTATATTAGCTTTTAATTAGAATTCTGTTATCACTACGTGTTCATCTGACTGCCTGACACAGAAATAATGCATCCATGTGATAGGACTCCATTGTACACAGAAGCGAGGGAACCAACAAGCTGCCAAGAAACCTCCAACATTGTTCCCGCCACAAATGGTGCTTCGCTGCATGATTGCTTGAAAGATTCCATTAACAAATATAACTGTGTGCATGAAAGATGTCATTGTTGTGAAAGTATTACATTTTAGCCACTGGGCAAGTAATAAAACACGTCTAAATATTGACACAGGGTTTGATCAGCTGCTGTGGCCCTACACAGTTAGGCAGGTTAAGCTTTCTTGGCAGAAAAGGAGTCACACACATTCCCAAAGTTGGATTTTTGGTGGAAATAAAAAGTAAAACTTTTGTCAAAATGTAACTTTGTCTCAAGCCATGTGGAGTTTGGAATATTTAGTAACTATCTGACAGCTCCTGTGTTTTGAACACATGTACAGAACTTCTTTATTGTTGCGGCCAACCATCTGGTTATATGCCACCTATAGTCATCCTCCCCACACACCTGGGACTCCAACTAGTGTGGCAGCTTGAATGTGTGCAAGCCCTCCAGGGCCCATCAGTCCACATGCAGTGCCCAGAGGAAACATGTGACATGTGGCATAATTGAGTCAGCCAGCAAATACTGTTGCAGAAATCAGCCTAGTGATGCCACTACTCAGTGCCCAGTGGGAGAGCTCTGAGCCGTATAGATGGTTTTAGAAAAAAAAATATGCCTGTTTCATATTATAGAGGGCACTGTTTTTATGTTTAATTCGATATAGCACAAGGCCTTTAGGACTAGGGTAAAGACAGCCAAGGCACTGACCAGAATGGCCGGGATCTCCTCGTTGAGAATTTGAGGTACTGAAATGAGAGATTCAAGAGGCCGTGTGGAAAATGTGGAGGTTGAAAAGAACACTTTGGTGCCAAAAAGCAGCCTCCTCATGGCTCAGTTTGCTCTCTGTCTATGGGGCATTGTTTCCTCGTATTTTCATTTATTTATTTATTTCCTCCTCCTCAGATCCTTTGTTCGTGCCACATAGGAAATGAAGGATGATTTCTTTGTTGGTTACTGGCCCTGCACTGTATATTGGATTTGTTGTTTTTTAACTCATTAATATTTTTTTTGCGTCTGTTTTCTTTGAGGAATTCAGACGTTCTGGCATGACATAAGAGAGATAGATAGATATTAGTAATTATTTTTAGTTACTAGTACACAGTGTACAGTAGTACAGTAAAATAAAAATAATTTCGTTATTTAATTACTTTGTAGAACAGTCATTTATTACTTTCGGCTTTTTCAGTAGTGCTATTGCGTTCTTCCTAATTACTTGTAATTGTTAATAAAGGTACCTTCCTGGCAAAGATTAAACTAAAACACTATCCATTAAAATATTGAAATAAAGTGGGATTTTCTCTTATGACATTAACTTAATTGCAAGTATGTATGAGGGTTGTGCCTTGTGTAAAACACTTAAAACACAGCCACTAATGAATTGGCTAACATCCTCTTCCTAAATGCATTTATGAATTCTCAAGTCCCACGTCTCACCCTTTCTGTTGGCATGTGCACACTCGTGTATTATATTGCAAGTTAAAGTGCTGTGTCCTACAGCCTCCTGAAGGATCACGCTATTATTTTGACAGAAATCAAACCATAATACTTTGTGTAGCATTTGTATTATAGGTACAGCTTTTACCAATAGTAAACAACTGCATCCCAAATGTCATGTGCGTCCTTGAAAGCACTTGAGTTAGGCAGGTGCCTTTAGCATTCCTTCTTCTGGCTGCCCAGGAGATGTTGCTTCTTTGAGTCTTTCTTCAAATATGCAAGCCCGCGCTGAGGGAGCAGATTGTTTGTTCTAGATTTCCTGGGAGACTCCCACCTTGGGCTTAAACTGAGCAGTTGTGATGATTAGCAACAAAGTGTGCTGCCTCTCATAAACCACTGGGGGAGAGCGAAGGATCTAAGGAATCTTCTTTCTCATGTTGCTGCATTTTTATTCTGAAGTCTCTCCTGTACTGTAATTACAGTTTAACAGATTTAGGTGGACACAGGTGTTAAAGTTGTCTGACAGTGCGCCTGAATTCCACCACAGAGGCTTGTTTTGTATGAATAAAGTAGAATTACGTTCAGTATTAGCAAATTCTCTGTGAAATCTCACAGCCAACTAAGTTATTAGGTACTGGTCTTATTATTTTGGACTTTTTGGACATTTGATAATTGTGATGGTGCCGTCTACCGTTATGCTATTTTTCCCCAGCTTCAATAACATAGTTGAGACAAACATTAACCTCCTAAGGCCCGAACTCTTCCACGACATGCATTTTTAATTTCTCTTTGATATTTGGGCATATTGGGGCCCGATGAATGTAAAAACAAAGAATTACCAGATTTTTTCTTTTTATCTTATTTTTGTTTTTAAGAAAAATCAGAGCCACAAATGAGGATATTCATTTAAAATGTTGATAGAACAGCAGCAGCATAATGTCCTCGTAAGTGGATATCAGGCCCTTGTAGAGCAAAATTGACTATTTTGGTCTAAATAACCCAAAATGTGATGTCCACATATGTGGACGCAGGTCCCAGGAGGTTAAAATGCTTTGATCATGAGCAGATTTCTTCTTTCTGAAACACATCTGAGCATTTAAAGTCCAGCAGGTGATAAATTCATAAAAATAATTCATCATGACATTTAAAGAGTTTAGTTTGCCAAACAAAGTAGAAAAAAGGAGTAGCATGTGTATGATTCTGTCCCCTGCAGGCTCATGTTTTTAGACAAATTGGGTGTTACTGCAGTACTGTTATTGTGGTGTTTCCCCAGTGTGCAGACTCAATAATCTGTCCATTATGAAAACATAGGGTCTCTTCATTCTTACACAAATTTGTCTATTGTGTTCAGTCACAGACTTAATACTATTTTTTGGGATTTGTGGGGGCTAACACAATTATCTTCCTGGCTCTAGGAAGTTAACAGGCAGGGCCTAAGGGAAGGAGCGGTGCTTATCAACCATCTACCCACTGTCACAATGACAAAAGTGTTGGCACATGCAAATGAAGATAGGAAAGTTGTCTGCAAGACTTTCCTCTGATGCTGCAGATGATTATATTGCATATTATGTAGCTCCACTTTTATGTTTAAGGTTGCTAACATCAATCAGTTCTGCCTATCACCAACCTTATATGACATATGTTAAGGACTGCAGAAAGCAATGCATTCAAATCAGTTCCACTGTAGAGTTTCCATGTATTGCTGCTTATGTGTATAAAATGGCAAAACCACACACATTTGTGAACATTTTTACCTATTGAAGGTTTATTTATTTAATGTAACACATTTAGAATCGGTGTGACTGTTTCTTATATATTCAGTCATTTATTTTAGGTTTTCACATTAAGTGTAGAATACATCACAGGCTGATCAGTTAGATTACCTGCCAAATGTTTCAGCAGTAGCTGATTTGCTTTTGCCTTTTGTCTAGAGAAAAAAGATGCAGGACCAAAATACTACTTTCCGGGTACTGAAGCAATGGTTTTTAATTGGTTTATGCCATCTGTTGGCATCTAACGCATGTTGTCCTGTACGCTTACTTTTAATATGCATTGAGATTCTAATGTATGTAAATTAATTATTTTTCTATGTTTTGAGAAATGGTGGAAAAATGTTGTTTAATGTCATTCAATTCTTGCTTTTATATAATGGTGATAGCAGTTAGCTTCAAAATTTAGCTTAATAGTATGCTCTTGTCCCCAAAATGAGTATTTCTTATGTTATGTATCTATATATCTACGTATGTAATATTTCTTTTTTTTCTTGCAGCAAGAAAAGACCTGAAGGATGAAAATGAAGAAAAAGTGCCACAATTTAAGAAAAAGGCAAAAGAGCTTCGTATCTTGGATGCCAAGACTGCACAGAATCTTTGTAAGTAGATGCAGTTATTTGTCCTACAGAAATGAACCATAACTGAATGTTCTTCCTCAGTAAGGATGGTGTTTTGTTGAGTTCTTTTAATTGGTATGTAGTGTTTTATTTGTGTCCAAGCCTTTTGATTTGTAAAGCACATTTTTGTTAGAACTGAATACTGAAATTACATGTAGGTGTTTAAAATCACTTGTGGCCGCGAGTAGCCTGTTTACCTAGTACAGGTGTATTTAGTCACCTTCCAGGCTTCTTTTTATTTTGCTCTTCAGTTAACATGCAAATGATCTAGAAAAAACAGACAGAACTCCTACTCCTTCTTCTTAAATAGTGTGTGTGCTTGTTAGCATATCTGCCTGTCTGAAAGATTTGGTATAATATAGCTCAGAGTGACAATATAGATCATAACACCTCAACAAATATGAATGTCACATGTTAAGATTATGCCAGTCAGTTGGTGCTTGCTTGTGTAGGCTCTCTCTAGGTACTCCGAGACATGTGTGTCGGGCCGTAGGTGTGAGTGTGAATGAATTGTATGACGAGCAATCAATCTAGAGTGTCTCCTGCCTTTTGCCCCATAACTCTCAAAATAGGCTCCAGTCCCATGATGAAATACAAGTGGTTAAAAAAATGGATTAATGTTTAGATTGCAGTCCACTCATTTGTTTACATGTGTCTTTTACACCGTTGTTATTTAAGCAGAAAGGGTGAGAATTGTAAACAAGTGATGACATATTCCATAAATAGAGATGTGATAAGTTACTTAAATTTGCTAAATATTGAGCACAAGTTTGAAACACAGAAGCCTGTTTGCTGCATTTGTATGATTCTGTCATTGCACGTCATTGCATCCTTGTATGGGCTGTGATAATGTTGATATGATAGGTGTCACTGCCATCTTTTATTATATAACAAGCAGATGGGCTTTGAATTTGACAGGAGGCAAAAATAAGAGTGTAGAAAACCTCACCTTCAGGAGGGAAATGGGTTGGAAGCATGTTGTTGTATTTAGTTATGCAGCTCTCCTGAGCCGCGTTGACACATACTACAGCGCCATGGATCATATTCTGTGCGTGCCTCTGAGTTCCCTTTACAGTTTTGATGTTTAGTAGTTTTGAAGGTCCGGTGACTGAGATATGTAGGTAGTTGTAATGTAAATACCATGTTATGTGTTGTGGTATAGCAATCATGCGTACCAAAGTCTGATCATTTGAACTTATAATAAGCTTAATGTTGGCTTTTGACTCTAGGGTCAGCCCAAATTAGAGAAATTAACTTTTTGATTATTTGAATGTACATATGAACCTTGTTTAAGAATCACGAAAAGCTGAAAGCTAGTAAATTCAAATTTCAATGAAAAACTAACATATGTTCTTTAACATTCCATATTGCAAATATTTTAAATACAAGAGAGAAGTTGACCAAAGTTAAATTACTACTTAATGTTTAAGAAAATTGTTCATTACAGTGGCCTGCTATTGTACTGAATGTATACATCACACCTTGCAGTAATGGTCTTAAGACTTAAATGATGTTGCATAGACATTTTTTGGGGGGGTTGCAGTTAATGTATAGAAGCTTTGACATAGTGTAGCCCTAAAATTTTAAACTATATACATATATATATATATATATATATATATATATATATATATGTATATGTATGTTAGGGGTGCAACGATACACAAAATTTACGGTTCGGTTCGATACTTTGGTGTCACGGTTCGATATTTTTTCAATACAACAAAAAATGTTCATGCCTTTTTAATTTGTCATTTATTAAAATTATGAATATATATTTTAACTCAAAACTACAGTTTTTAGATTTAATGTTGCTGAAACAACAAAATAAAAAAAAAAAAGGTAAATGGTAAATGGACTGGTTCTTATATAGCGCTTTTCTACTCTTCTGAGCACTCAAAGTGCTTTATATAAATCTATCTGATCGAGAAATCACTCATCTTTGGAAAAGAGAGTTTATTACAGAGAATATGCTAGCCTGAAACTGAATTTAATAAACTCATAAAGGCAACGTAAACATATTTTTAAAAATAAGGCTTACACTTAGTTAGCTTACTAATAATAATTACAGTGGCTTGTCAAGACAATGTACTACAGTTCATATGAATTTTAATCGTATTCAGTATGTCAGGTGCTTCAAGAGTAGTAAATCTCCTACTCAATATACTTCCCCAACTGGAACAAAAAGTACTCGACACAATGCTTTTCTCTCTTTTATCACTTTTCTCTGCCGCAGTTTGTTTTTTGTTTTTTTTAACACAGCTTGTGCACAATGTAGCAGCTGTATAAAAAGAATTAATAAATGGAAAACCTACATAAAATGCACACTTAATTTAAGATTAGCAAATAAAGCTGGATTACACGGGCAAGAAAATATTAAAATATAAATAAATATAAAAAATATATATTTAAAAAATATATGATATATGTACCAACTGGTTTCTCAGTGAAGAGTTCCTGCAATTCTGCTTAGAACTAGAAACCATTGAAAACCAATTGTTTCCACAAAAATAATTAATGCACAAACAGAATTCCAACGCATTTCAGAAAGTAAACTTGCAGGGCAGCATGCCACCTGTTTTCACTTCCATTGGAGATATTTAGGTTTTGTCAGAGTCTGGTGTGCTATATTCACTACTTTTTTTTACTATACATGCAATTTTAACATCTTCATGTGCACTTTGTCTCTATTCTTGCTGGAGAAGAGAGTTGAGAGATTTAAGTCCAGAGGGACACTTAGAGGTGGAGTCTGCCTCAGTGAGAGAGTGTTGTGAGAGGAGATACAAACCCTGCGTTCTTGTATTTCCTGAAAGAGAAAAAGGACTGAAAAAAACTCAGCATAGAGCTACGATACTTAATAAATTTATTAGACCACCTTTCATAAAAACCAAGAAAACACAGATATTTAAAAAATCTGTCAAAAATGAGTTTAAAGCTAAAAATCATATTGTTACTTATTAGACAAACAGAATTCATGTTTATATTGCTCAAATTAATTCATCGAGCATAACGTTCAACTATTCAAACTATTTTTTTCTTTTCAGGAAAATAAATAACTTCAATTTGACGCCTTAATAAAAAAATAATGATGTGTGTTTCCCTTTTTTATATTTTTTTGAAAAACAGTACATTTGAAAATTCATGAATAACAACAGTAATTATATCACAGCATTAAAAATGTCATGTCGATTAAAGTGCTTCCACATGCTGGCGGATTAACCGTTACGGAAACATAAAATGATTTTGATAATTACCAATGCTATTCGTTTAGAGCAGCTATGCCATAAACCTTACATTGCGTGGTCTACTACATTTGCTGTTGTATCTCTATAGATGTAGTATCACTTATAGTATCGCTTTCTATCCCTTTTCAACAGTACAGAAAATGGAACATAAGAATCAGATGTCTGATTCCCATATCAGTAATGCAGTAATGCAAAGCTCCTTTGTATACAAACTAAAACGAAAAATACACCTCAGTGCACCTGGAAAAACACATACATACTAATCCTCATGGGGGAATGTGCAGGTGCAATTTTCTGCTAAATTGTGCACCAAAACGGCATTGTGCTGCTGAATCTCATCAACACACCTACACCTACACCATCACAGGAAATAAGAACCAGGTGCAAGCTGATAGCACCAAATGTTGGATTTTCAGCCTGGAACTTTTTTTTTTTGCCTTCCCATCTACGTTTCCCTCACTTTGAATCTCCAATGTGTCCTAGTATCCAATACATATGACCTATGAAGGGCGACTCTTAAGAGAACTCAGTACTGAATATCCAGCTGTAGGTCTATTGAAGAGGCAGTACGAAGCAAAGACAATGTGCTTTATATGACAAAAAATGTTGAGCTGAGGAAAGGTAGGTATATTATGTAGTGAAACCAGAAAATGATGCTAGATGTTATGGGACTAAAGCTCTACAACACTATATCGTAAATCAAAGTGATGGCAACGGCGTGTTATGCTTTGACTGACTTAAATGCAGTAAATACTCTGTATATTAAGTAGCAGTAGACTATGAAGAGCTGAAAAAAGGACGCACTCCTTCTCTGTTGCACGTCACATACAGACATCAGGTCCCAGTGCTTCAGTAGTTAAGCAGCTGTTGAGTGACTCTCCTCCAACTCATTACCAAACCTCCATGTGTGACTTCCACCTGGATACACCATCAGCTCCACTTTTCAATGTAGCCACCCCACCTGGAGTGTGAAACAGCCATGAGGCTTTGCCCTGAGGCAAATTTACTGGGTACCTTTGTATCCACCCTTACAAAAGCATGTAGCTGTTCACATGACACAAACACTCCTACAGCTAATTAAAAATATTCTCATTATTAGTATTGTTATTATTACCTGTCACTCTTTTACGTGTTGTTGTTAAATCTTGATTTTTCTTTCCTGTCCAGCTTTTGTGGCACAGACTATCCAGTCGAAAGGCTTAAAATGCATTAGTTTTTCCAAGTAGAAAGTTGGGTCTGTGGTCATTTTGTGCTGAAATGTCTCTTTGAAGCCTGCAGTCTAATAAAAAAGGGAGAGGAAATGACTCTTTTCTGTCTACATCACAACAGCAATTTTCTTGGGCTCGTTCCGCCTGCCTTATGAAGAGATCCGGGACATTGTGCTCCAGGTAGACGAGGAGAGACTGAGTGAATCACTCATCCAGGTAAGACTGATACTCAGTGTGGTGCGTAAGTACCCCCCTTCCCCCCTTTTTTCCTTTCTTTTTTACCCTTCTCTGTTACTTTGCAGTTTCTAAAAAATGTGTGAACTTTGTGTGTGTGGCGACCTGGTGTGTCTCTTTTTTTTTTTTTTTTTTTTTGCACAAGTCAGTCGTCTCATTTTCATGTGGACCATAGAGACCCACCCTTTATCCTATTACAATGGATGGAGAAGGTGAAGGCTTGGCAAAGTCTCCTCAACTCCACCCCCATCTCGTCTTGTCTTTGTTTTAAACCGTGATTAATGAGCTTTCTAAAGGCTACTTGTTTTTTTCTATTTTATTTTTCACTGTCTCAAAAAAAAAAACATTAATTGAAAACAAGGTGGATGCACTTGAGGTGAAGATGCATCACTGTGCAGCCTGAGCCTCAATCTGTACTAACATTTCTTGCACTGTCCTTGTGAGTAAAGCAGCATGTTGGCTTTTATTACTGTTTTATTTCTGCAGTAGGAGGTGTGTACCCTAGGGGTGAGTAGCAAATAGAACATTTGATTTCAGTATAATCTTGGCAGTGATACACTGCTTTCTGTGCATGAGTGTGTACAGAAGTCTTTTCCCCCCCCTTTTCTTTACTTGACAACCAGGAGTGGACATTGTTGAAGTGGCTGCTGATTTCAAGCTTAGGTCCAGAGAAAGGGGGGAAAGTTCCCACTAGCTCGAAGGGTGTCCTGTGGTGTCTGGCATTGGGACAGTTGATCTATTGGGTCCTGTGGTTGTGAGGTGGGCTTCTTTGGATTGCGTTTGCTCTGACACATCCTGTAGATGCTCAGTCAGATCAGTGTCATGTGTTCCTCAAGTCATTCCTGGCCAATGAGCTGGATCACACTGCTTTTGTGTTAAAGTTCTAGTGTGGTCTCAGAATGCAGCTGTGGTGTGGAGGTGGGTGATTACTTGGTTTGCACCAATGTTTAGTAAGGGAGCACATGTGCCAACATAACGCCCACATAATTCCCAGGAAAAAACTTCCCCAGTATAGCTGTGCAAAGTAACAATGTGATTAATGTTATTCAATTCACTTGAAAGTGGTCTTAATGTTGCTTCTGGTTGGTATATTGTATATACCAGTATATATCCTGTACCACCAAAGCACGATTTGTACATCAACTAATGTAAATCCTGCAAAATCAACCCTTAAACTGACGAGGTGAAAGTACAGCCACAGGGTGTGTATGAGAGGACACACATCCCTCCTCTTTGGGGCGGAAGTATGTTAAAGTACTAACACATTGCCAGTACACACAGCACCACATATGATGTGATGAAGAAATCATGGCTGAATGTAGCAAAAATACACCAATGAGAAATGTCTCAGGGTTAGTCATGTGTAGCTTTTTCAGCATTCAAACAGCTAGAAAGAGGTTTTTTATTGTCCCCATTTACTTTCTCCATTTTACTCTTTATTCAATGTGAAGCAGGACAGTGGGGTTTCTAACAAAAAGGCTCAACGGGGCTTAGGAGAATGAGCGTATGACTCAGTAAGAGCATCTGAAAACCAAGCTAATGTCATGAAATCTAGGGGGAGCCAGGGTGACCAACCGGGTTAACTTATTGGTACAGAAGGGGCACACATCTGGCATGTATGTCACTGCTGGTTAAATAATGGTCTGCATGGTCTGAAGTAGAAAGTTCAGGCGGAACAGTTTGGATAGCATCCCAGTTATTAACAATTCTTTCTTCTGTTAATTCACCTGCTGTTATGCTAATGTTATATAATGTCTCTTTTGAATTTGCTTTGAATTAATTAAATTATGATTCTCTTACATTAGAGGTTTACTAGCCTTTATATATGGTGTATAAATAGAATTTGAGTGGGTGACGATGCATACATATTCTATTATTGTGGAATATAAGCTTTTAACTAAACCCAATGCAATTGTTTAATGCATGGCTATAACACTGATGCATTCTCATTTTATGAGAATGAAGTTCATTTTAAATATTAAGGTTGAGGTATTAAAAATCAGTTTGAACCCACAGACAGCTCAAAGCGTGTGTCATGTGTTGTGTAGTGGTTAAAATGTGAAGCTAGAGGACTTATTAAACTGTGTCTGACTGAAAGCGCGATTTGCTGCAAATGGTACATTGCAATAATGTTTGGCAAGAGAGGGAAGCAAAACAAATGCGTAAATTTTTATTTACATGAAAATGTTGCTAATTGTATACTTAGATAACCATCCTACTGAAATATGAATGAGGTGATTATAAAGCAAAAGCGTGCAGAAATGAGCTCGCAAATTAAACGAGGCAGCAAGCAACACATGCCCAACAAATACAATTATAGCTATAGTTGAAACTATGCAGAGGCGCTGAAGGGAAGCAAAAAGACTCCCTGCTGGGTGACACAGTCCTGAGTGTGGGCTCCATCTGCACAGTGCTTATCCACATTCATTATGCTGATTAATCATTCCTCACCACCCACTTTCAGCCACACGCCAATCACCATTTATCTCGTGGACAGATGCACACACATAAAATAAAGCAAGGACGCTTTCAAAAGTAAATGAGTAACAACAACAACAACAATAAAAACATTATTAGTAAACTTTCTTCATCGTATTCTGCATCTTCACCTTCTGCTTCTTGCTCTTCTTAGCAAAAGTGTACATGCTATTGGTTTTACACCAGTCATTTACTGTTACTGAACTACAATCAAAATGTGCAATGGACATTTTTAGTGTTTTTTTTTTTCATTCAAAAATTGCCACGTTGAAAAATTCATTTGGCAATTAGACAAAGAGTGCCTGTATTTGTGGTGAAGAAGAGGAGACGTGAACAATTCCTCCTTTTTAACTGGCTGTGCAGTTTTCGTTATGAAACTAAAATAACCAAGTTCAAATGTCTGTTCAACAATTGGAATCAACCAGATAAGTTTAAAGAATGGTGAAAATGGAAAGAATCAGGGAAGCAAGAGGTGTTCATAATCCATCTAAAACCCTGTAACTCAATCTTATTACCTTCCTTCTCAGTCGACATGTCTAATGTAATGATTTGTCAGCAGAATGTGGCAGTACGCTGGCCTTGAAGTACCCCTACAATGTGTCACCCTGGCAGAGCGGATAGATAGGAGTTGATTGGCTCTCCTTATTCTGCATTAGGGCCCATCAACGCCTCGGAGATGATATACACATCCCTGAATGTTAGCAGACAGTCCTGGATCTCCCCATTCATCCATGCCCCACACGAATGCTTGCACCCTTATTTTCATCTCCATGCACCCAGCATGCAAACATAAGTACGGCACATGCAAATGGATAGACGGTGTCAGTTATCCCCTCTGTTTTCTAGTCCCTGTAAAACTGCATTGTGCATCATCTAACCAATAAATGTGTGCACAGTCCTCAAACACACGCACACATTTGCATTCTGTCATGCCCTCTTTCTTTGTCTGTGCTCTTTGTTTGACTACAATAGACATAGTGCTGGTGGTCATTTTTGTAAATCAGGTCAGCTTCATCAAATTTTAAAAGACAGAGTCACCACACTACCATATAGATTATAACAGTGTGGACAATGACAAACAACAATACCAGTTGGCTCAGTGAAAGCAGGTTGAGTCTCAGAAAGCATTGCAAAGGTCTGCTTTTAAAAGAGCTGACATCCTGACAAAGCTATTCATTGCTTTTATTGGTGGCAGGAGAAGCAGCAAGGGAAGGGTCCTGTAGACCTTTTTTGTGTGTGAAAGAGTCAGGCACACGTGGGCTTCAGGGCCAGGTTCTATTGTGTTTGCATTTAGTTTTGGCACTGCAAGACTACAAGACCTTAGCAGCACTCTGGCTAAGAACACATCTTCCACACTTGCATTATTTCAATCATTTGTGTGGATATGTGCCCATGAGCCTACTGTTACTGATTTAAACTGTTGCCTTTGGTGTTTTTATCTGTCCAACAGCCTCTTTGCCCCAGAGTGGGGAAGGCTTAACTGGCATAATGATGGTATTTGGTCCCATGCCCTTACGGTTCATGCCAAAGGAACACAAGGAGGCCAAACAATGCCCAGATTATTAATAAGCACTTGTAAACTTGTATAGTTTATAGTGCAATCAACTGGTACACATGCAGGGAGTTATTAGCTCATAACCTTTCTCTGTTAGAGTAGTTGTCACTGGAGAATTGCAAAAGAAGTTAAAGTTGCTGACAATGTTGCCATTATTGTATTAAACAGGGTTTGCATTCTCAAAGAGAAACTGTGTCCAAAGGCTTATTTAAATTATTTTTTACTTACAGTAGGACGGATTAAGTGGTGTTGGTTTTTAGGAATTTAGATTAATGCTTAGCAAGGATACTCTCCAAGCACTCTCTCAGCTCGTTCTTTTGTCTTGCCACTTTTTTCCTTATTATTCTTGTACAATGTTTCTGCTGGACTACCTTGCATTCCCTCATTGCTTAATTGGCACATCTTGGGAAATAGTTCTTTGTGATTACAGTTTATAAATTCTTAAGCTGTCTACAATGCATGTATACCCTCTTCTAATGCTCCCCCGGGCAAATATAAGCTTTTTTAGGTCTAATCAGCTTTTCTCCTTCCATCAAGCAAAAACAGCCCGTGGTTCTTCGTGCTGTATACATAGTTGGAGATCACAGCCCTTGTGATGTCCAATTATGCTCCATTTCTAATTTAACCATTTCATATTAAAGCGCATCACTACATTGACCTCAGTAGGTGAGAGCAAACATGTAATCATAAAGACTATATTTAAATTAGGCAATTTTAGTCTGGGAATTCATAAATGCAATATGCAATATATGCAGTATTTTGCATCATCATCCTTTGTCTTTTAATAGATATGCTTTTTTAAGGCACTTATCAGCTCGATTGCTGCAGTTATTTTTGAGAACTTGCCTCCACTTTGCGTCCTGGGTATTTCAGTTTCTTCTCTTTCTTTAGCCAATCCAACCCGCTAAATGAAGTTAAAAGAGGGCATGTGTAGGGGCTTAATCATGCT